AATGATAAAAAAGGTTAATTAATTCATATATATGCCTCAATTGATAATGGGTTTTGAAAACTACATAATATAATATTAGCAACTTATATTGTCAAAAGGTCATGAAACTAATATAACTCTCTATTACCATTTTAGATAATAGAATGGACTAATAAGAAAAAATTTATAGACCTTACCAAATCAACAATTCTTGAAGAAGAGAATATAAACGACCAATCCAAATCATAAAACTATATGGTGGTTAGAGCTTCCTCTTAGATGACATGATGGAAGCTAGATAAGTAATCGAGAAAATTATTGTATGATATTAAATTTCTAAAAGATTATCTTCCATTTTTAATGATATATAAACGACTACACACTTGACCATTATTGCTTATCTAAAATATGCGATCATGTGCTCTCAGCCACTGTAGTAATAATCTTAAATTACATAGCCACACAAGATGCTGGTTAACAGTCCTAGCCATGACACTCACGATGGTAACCCATATCAGAATTTATTCTGTTAGATAAATTGATAAAACAAAAACACTAAAAACCTTTAAAATAAATTATGCAAATATATTGAAGCCTTGAGTTATTTACACGGCAAAAATGCCATATTAGAAATGAAACATTTTGTAACTACAAAATAAGAACCAGAGTGATATCATGAAAGCAATTAAGATTTTATATATTATTGTCGCACCATCTCTAGTTGGTATATTATATCTTAAAATAATAGTAGTTTGTAATAATATTAAAAATATATTCGTATTAAAAATTTAACTCAAATCTATATTCCTAAGAAGAAAATAGCTTCCTAAAAACACGTAAAAAAGAGAAGAAAAGATATCGAATTTATTACATCCATTGTGGGATAAATAATATAATACGCTTAATATTAATTATATTGTCAATTATTAGATGGCGTTAAATATTTATAAGCAAATTGTTACTTATATTTATTATCAAAAGCATTTATTAGTAAAATTTTAAAAATATTAACTGTAATATATTATATAACTGTCAGAGGCATTTTACCTAATATTTTATAAAAAATATATATAATAGAGGATTATAAACTATATGTCTACTTACTTTTTATAAATAAATCTTTAATACTTATTTCGATTTGGACCTTGAAAATAATTTTAGGAAGAAACATGATAATTAAATTTAAAAATCAATAATATAGTTGATTAGTGATTTTGAACTCGGCTAAAATATTAAATTATTAATTTTCAATTAATAAATGATTATATTTATTTAATTAGGGTTATATAATAATTTAAATAATAAAAGTCAATTAAGCTTCAACTGTTAATGCTAAATTAATATTTAGTGAGTGATATTGTTATATTTTTAACAAAGAATTTGATTGCAAGCTGACAGAGTATAATATATATGTAATAATCTAATCTAATAATTAAAATAGTATTCATTTAATAAAAATTAAGATAGTCTTATTAATTTTTTAATAAAATTAAATTTATATTTTACTCAATAGAATTATAAAAGAAATTATTCAGAGGGCAATTAAAAACATTTATTTTTAGCTCAAGGGGATAAAGGAGCCATTAAAAAAATTTTTTGCTTTAGGAGGCTATTCAAACTTGGGGGCTATAGCCCCTGCGCCCCCCCCCCTAGCGACGCCACTACCTGTAATGTTTATTTCTTTAAAATATTTATTAAGCGGATTGAAGCATTAATATAATAAATATTCACTAATTATTGATATAAGTATTTTCACTCTTAAGGCATGATATACATTTGGCTTATAATAAGGTTACTTTTTTTGTGGGTGGAAAATTGATCAAAGAATTAATTAGTATTCTATATTTTCTATTCTATCATGATGTCAATTTCGACCATTCTTATCTTGCTAATAGTTTTTTTTTCTTTATACTGTTTATTAAACGGATTAAAATAATATATAATTAACATGAAACATTGTTAAAATTTTCAGAATAAATTCTTTCAGTAGCTTTTTAATCGTAAGACTAGCCAAAATTTTGTTCCTTATATTTTTTTTATTTTTTTCTTTATACTGATTATTCAGGGGCGTCATTAACCTTTGCAACCTCAGGAAGCTCAAAAAATTTTTTTTTTCTTTTTTAAAGCCAACATTATCTAAAATTACTTTTTTCAAAGCTAATTCTTACCTATTTTTATTTTTTTAGTTGTATAAAAAAATTTAAATTTGGAGGGGGATCTTCAAATTTTTCAGGGCTCGAGCCCCTGCGCCCCCCCACCCCCTAGTGACGCTACTATGATTACTATACTGATTACACCCATTGGGACTAATAAAGCATGAGAAAACATTGACATATATTTTAGAATTAGTGTGTAAAATTGTTCAGTCAACTTTAATGGGCGATAATATTAAGATATTATAGCAAAATATTAATAACCACAGGAAAATCAATAATATCTAACCATAATTTTTATAAGAGGTAGCAGAAGGGGGCAAGTGTTGGTTTAGGGGGGAAGGGTCCACAATGATCTTTTTTAAACAGCCAATATCAAACAATTAAATATATATTTATTAAATATTAACTATTTTCAAACATATTTAAGTATTTAATTTCAAATTAAAATGAATAAAAATTATTTTTACAATATTTACCCTATGAAATTAATAATTTTTTAAATCTTTTAAATTAAATAATTTTGGTAGGAAACCTTATATAATTTATTTTTTATTTTTTTACCTTTATAATATTAATATTAAAAAAAATCATAATTAATCAATTGTGCTTTAAAATAATTTCAAATTAAGGTTTAGATTGTAAGATAAATACCATATATCTACAACATGTTTTAGTCTTCTTAATGATTCATGATCCATCATTTTAATAGGGGGAGGTTAACACTGTATGATATGTAATATTTATTCATATAAATTTTGGTAAATTATCAAATACATATCTTTTCATACTCATACCTTTCTGAACTATCATAACTTTCTAAATATGTTTTTGTTAATTTTCATGAATTGTTTAAGTATGGCAATTGTGAGATATTGACAAATAATATTTTGTTGTAATTGTATCGGTTCATATTTATCTACTATAATTTAATTTGGTAATTTTTTGTGGCACTAAGTAATAATGCCAAAATTCTTTATCTTTTATTTTTAATTAGTTTCTTCCCCACTATTAAATTGTCAATTTTTTAAATGTAAATTGCAATATTCTATACTGTTATCACTTTTATTTTTAAAAAAATATATAAATCTAAATATATCTAAAAGCATGACAAACCTGAAAATGAAAGTAAATTTAAAAGTATTTTCTGTTTTAATTTCCATAAATATTTATTTAAACCTTTGTTTTACTAATGTGAAAAATATTAAAATAAACATTTTTTTTCCTCTTTCTATTATAGATTAGATTCAGTAAAAAAAAAAAATTGTTAATAGAATTTGGACTCCGGGGTAAATAATTCTTTTCTATTAAATCCTCTAGCTTCCTCGATATATTCTGATTATTAAACATTATCCTTCAAAATGTGATTTATTTGAATTTTTTTTATATATATATTAGATATTATATGCTATAATTTTAATTCTATCTGTAATATAATTAATTATGTGCAATAATTATGCTCAAATTTATGTTCTATACTCTATAAAACTATGCCATTTATGATAGTTGCAATTATGACATAATTTATGGAATAGGCTGTTTAAATATATATATAATATATTTATAAAGTTTGCATTACCGACATTTTTTAAAACGTATTTGTATTTATATTTAAATACATACATTTATAAGTGTATTTTGAATTTGAGATATAAAACCCCGGCCCGGCTTCTACTCGTCCTGAGCCATTTAAAAAAAATAATCTTGGGCTGAGTTAGGCCTAAAATTTAAAAAAAGATTAGGGTATTAGAGTCGGGCCGGATCAAATTCTTGTAAGAAGCAAGGTACAGATATATATTTTTTAAAAATTATTGAATTTTCTAATTTCATTTAATATATTCGGGCCGGGCTGATAAATAATATTTTTTTATTTCATGTCGGGCTTTTCTGGATAAATGTTAAAAAAAAGTGTAGGATCAAGCCGGGCCGGACAAATTTAAAAAAAAAATTCGACCCTGGCTTGAAAAATATACTCAATGTAAATCACTAATTTGAATACATTTTTTTTGAAAATTTACCCAATCCTGGATACATTCATAGCTTGGTTTTCTACGATTAAAATATTTTCAGAGCCTTCATTACTTTATAGAAAAACAAAATAAATAAATTTTCTCAAGTAATTAAACCTTCAATTAGAATTTAATTTTATTGCAAATGTTTTGATCATTCAGTATCATGACAGTTAGTAGCCATTTAGACAAAGGGATAGGTTTAGGGTTCAACCCCCCCCTCCATCAATGGAAATTTTTTTTCTTTCTCTCTTTAGCTTTCACCTTTTCTAATGGTAAGCTCCTTCAATATCTCTCTCCACCTTATGCTATTTATACTATCTCTTTTATCTAGTTTATACTTCTTTACGTTTGCCCATCACTTCCAAACTCTCAACCTTATTTCCTATGTAGTTCATGGGCCTTCTCATTGTGTTCCCATACCACCTAAGTCTGTTCACCATTATCTTAGTTTTAATAGGCTAGGCACTACCTTTTAACTTCCTATTATTCTTGTAAGCCGACCATTGATGAACTTCCTCGGCTATTGTGAAGCCTTTGTGCTACGGACCATTGTTATATGGCCCATATACATACTGTATTATTCTTATATATTTTTTGGGAACCTTTTTGTGGCGTAGCGACCACCAGATAAGATTTCTTGGGATTCTATCGAAGGATATTTCTATATCGAGAAAGACCATGTGTAGCTTTTTGTTCTTTTCCCTATATTTTTCACTCATTTGTCTAATTGCGTGGATAGCATCAGTTGTTGATCTTCCAGGCATAAAGCCAAACTGAGTCTCTCCTATTTCGATTATGTCTCTTAATCTTTTTTCTATTATTTTTTCGTATAGTTTTAGACAGTGTGACATTAGTTTTATGCCCCTGTAATTTTGACAATTGTGTGGGCCCCTTTATTTTTGAAGATAGGGACTAGATAGATCTTCCTCCATTTTTGAGGAGGTATTTTATTGTATAGATTTGTGAGGAAATGTATTCCATCATCTCCTAGTGCTTTAAGGCTTTCTATTGGAATATCATCTGGACCCCTAGCTTTGTTGTTTTCCATATGCTTGAGGCGTATGATTAACTCTTGTTCTGTTATTGGTGGTATAAGGTTTTGACATGGGGAGTGTTCATCTAGATGTAGTATGTGGAGATTAAAGTTGAGAAGCTCCTGAAAATATTATTTCCATCTATTCATTATTTCTTTTTCCTTTATTATCAATTTACCATCTTTATTCTTGATTACTTTCGGAGCTCCGTTTATATCCCTAGAATTCTTTTCTCGCTGTTGGCTAATCTGTATATTTTATTTTGCCCTTCTTTGGTATGTAGTTCTTCATACCTGTAATCTTATGCCATAGATTTGGCCCTAGCTACCGCCTTTGTAGCTATTCTCTTGGATTTTTTGTATCTTGTATTGTCATCTGGGTTTTTGGATTTTTACCATATTTTACAAAGGGCTTTTCTCCTGTATAGTAGTTTGTACCTCTTCATTCCATCACCATAGTTCTTTGTATGATTTGTTACCTCCCCTTGTCAAGCCTAGTGTTGATTTGGCAGTGTCTATTAATCTGGATGAAATGTCTGTCCACATTTTTTCACTGACTTGTGAGGAATCTATTGTTTCAATGTTTGCATTGATTGCAAAGGCATCTGTCATTGATTTTAATTTACCCCATTTGATGCATGATTCAAGTTTTATCTTGCTTTGAGTGGATTTATTTTTGAGGTGTAAATAACTTGTGTTGCGCGGCAATATCTTCTCCTGGGATGACTTTGCAGTCTTTTACATCTTTTAATCTTCTGCGAGTGATTAGCATGTAATCTATCTGTGTTTTCCTTGTACCACTTTCATATGTTATTAAATGACTGTCATTTTCCCTATAGTAGGTGTTGGTTAAGGCAAGGTCGAAGGCTTGCACAAATTTCAGTATATGCTCTCCTTCATCATTTCTCTCTCCATATCCAAAACCACCATGATGCCTTTTGTAGCTGTCTCTTGCTTTTCCCACATGCGCATTTAAGTCACCACCATTATAACTAGGTCATCCTTAGGGTATTCCATTACAGTTTCATAAAGGATAGCTCTAAAGTCATCTTTCTCTTCTTCTTTGCAACCCGTTTGAGGAGCATATACTGAAAGAATGTGTAGGATTGACCAATGCAGAGTTTTATTTTCATTAGTCCATCAGAGATCCTGTTGACTTCTATCACTGAGGAAGTTAGATCTTGACTGAGGATAATGCCGACACCGTTCCTATTGCTAACAATTTCATTATAGTACAATTTATACCCATCTCCAATCATTAAGGTCTTATGACCGTCTCTTGTATGCAGGCTATATCAACTTTTCTCTTGTTCAACTGATGTCAATTCTCTCGTCTTACCTTTAAGTGTCCCAATATTCAAACTTGCTAATTGTCTTCTTTGCTTTGACCTTTATTTTACTTTTCACAAGATGGAGGTCTACACCTTGCGCTTCGCTTGGAGGGAAGGCCCTAGCTTTCATATTCCTATTTTTGTTTTTTTCCTTCATTTTTGTTTATCGGACAAGTATTCTTAGCATCCGGCTGTCCAGGCCTGTCGGTGATCGGAGATGTCATCTTTAAGCGCCGAAATTCATCTTACCATATGTCTTTACACATCAATCATCGAAGAAAAATCTGAAATTTTTTTGAAAATTCTTATGTTCCTTACCAGGATTGAATCTGGGACCTTCAGTTTTGTTTCCAAGCATACATCATAACCCACTGTGCCACCCCCGGAAAATATGAATAGGTAAAATTTTGTATTTTATTATGTTATCTAGTCGACATTTTTCTTTTATTTCTTTTAAATTAATTAAACCCCCTCCATACTTTTTTATTTATATAAAATCATTTAAGAAAATTTATTTATATATTTAAAGGTAACATAGAAAAATCTCAAAAATTTTAACAATACTCTGCACATTTAATTTTTAATCAAATTTCCACATAAGATTTTTTTTTAAAATTATATTAAAAAATAAATGAAAACGGAAGATTTTCTAAGATGTTATAAATCTTATGAGATGGATGTTTGATCTTTTCTTTTTCAAGTGTAAAAGCAAGTATGATTACTTTACTAGACCATGATTTAAACGCTTGAGAGGAAAATATAATCTATTATCGTTTTCAATTCCACAGTTAACAATCCATCTTATTTTGATATCACAAGTCGAATTTATTATTTTTCATGTTATCGCTACTAATTTATAAAAATATCAACTATACACAAGTATTAATCTAATTTTTTAAAATATATATTCAATTATATGTTGTATATTGCATGGTTCACTTAAGTAGAAGATACCCGGGTAAGTTGAGTTCAGGGAAACGTTGGCTCACTCCATTTATAATTTGAGCTATTATTTTATAAGATTAAAATTTGAGCCTAACATACACATGATTGACTAAAAAAAGATTTGAAAAATATTTAGTATTTTAATTTTCACAGAAGGAAATGTGTTTTGGTATGCCAAAAGTATAAAAAAATAATTGCCAACTTTATCGTATATATTTATAAATAAAGCTTTTAAAAATTTAATAAATAAATTTTAGGAAAATTTAAACTCTATTTTTCGGGTATGACTAAATACTGTCTTGCTAAACTGTCTTGCTAAAAAGCAATTAATTATAATTAATCATAATTTGATGATAAAATATCTTTTAAAGAAAATTTTTCAAAATCATTTTTTTTATTTTACATAAATCAATTTTTAATTAATTAATAAATTGATATTAAATATCAAATAATTTAAAATTCTATTTTTACTTAATATTTTTGGAAAAAAATTATATTTATTAGCTTATTACAACTTATATTTTATTTTTCAATTACAAAATTTAACAAATTTATATCCATAAGAGGGCGTTAAATACATAAATATGAAAATATATTCTATGGAAACCAGAATAAATATTGGATAGCGCTTTTTTTTGTATTTGGGTGTAAATACATGTGAAAAACCTAAAAAAATTTAAAAAATAGAGGTTTCTTTGAGATTTAATTAATGAGTAGGTTTAGAAGCGAAAAATAGTAGAAAGTTTGTAAGGAACATATTGCTGGCGTTATTGATCAAAATCTCTTCATTTTTGGTTTATACGTGTATATTTAGGTGTTAAACATTATCCTAAAAAATATTTTGAAAATATTATGATTTGACCGAATGCCGGGCTTAAAACCGACCACTTACTAAATATTCGATCTACCAAATTTGGTAGTATATTATTTGGAAAATGTTCATTTTTGGTTAATTTATCTATAAATACGTGCAAATCATTATCCCAAAAAATATTTTAAAAATATCACGATTTGACCGATAACCGATTTAAAACCGAAATACTGTCTTGCTGGCGTTATACATAGAAAATTCTTCATTTTTGGTTTATACGTGAACAATAACGTGTTTTCATTATCCTAATTAATTTTTTGAAAATATTATAATTTGACCGAATGGCGAGCTCAAAACCGACCACCTACTAAATATTCGATCTACCAAATTTGGTAGTAATATTATTTGGAAAATGTTCATTTTTGGTTTAAATATCTGTATATACGTGTAAATCATTATCCCAAAAAATATTTTAAAAATATCGTGATTTGACCGATACACGATTTGAAACCGGCCCAATGACTAAATACTATCTTGCTGGCGTTATACATGGAAAATTCTTCATTTTTGATTTATACATGAACAATAACGTGTTAAGCATTATCCTAATTAATTTTTTGAAATATTAAGATTTGACCGAATGGCGAGCTCAAAACCGAACACTTACTAAATATTCGATCTACCAAATTTGGTAGTAATATTATTTGGAAAATGTTCATATTTGGTTTAAATATCTGTATATACGTTTAAATCATTATCCCAAAAAATATTTTAAAAATATCGTGATTTGACCGATAACCGATTTGAAACCGAAATACTGTCTTGCTGGCGTTATACATAGAAAATTCTTCATTTTTGGTTTATACGTGAACAATAACGTGTTAAGCATTATCCTAATTAATTTTTTAAAAATATTATGATTTGACCGAATGGCGAGCTCAAAACCGACCACTTACTAAATATCGATCGAATATTTAGTAAGTGGTCGGTTTTAGGCTCGGCATTCGGTCAAATCTTTTCAAAAAATTAATTAGGATAATGCTTAACACGTTATTGTTCACGTATAAACCAAAAATGAAGAATTTTCTATGTATAACGCCAGTAAGACAGTATTTCGGTTTCAAATCGTGTATCGGTCAAATCGCGATATTTTTAAAATATTTTTTGGGATAATGATTTGCACGTATTTATAGATAAATTAACCAAAAATGAACCATTTCCAAATAATATTACTACCAAATTTGGTAGATCGAATATTTAGTAAGTGGTCGGTTTTAGGCTCGGCATTCGGTCAAATCTTTTCAAAAAATTAATTAGGATAATGCTTAACACGTTATTGTTCACGTATAAACCAAAAATGAAGAATTTTCTATGTATAACGCCAGTAAGACAGTATTTCGGTTTCAAATCGTGTACCGGTCAAATCGCGATATTTTTAAAATATTTTTTGGGATAATGATTTGCACCTATTTATAGATAAATTAACCAAAAATGAACCATTTCCAAATAATATTACTACCAAATTTGGTAGATCGAATATTTAGTAAGTGGTCGGTTTTAGGCTCGGCATTCGGTCAAATCTTTTCAAAAAATTAATTAGGATAATGCTTAACACGTTATTTTTCACGTATAAACCAAAAATGAAGAATTTTCTATGTATAACGCCAGCAAGACAGTATTTCGGTTTCAAATCGGTTATCGGTCAAATCGCGATATTTTTAAAATATTTTTTGGGATAATGATTTCCACGTATTTATAGATAAATTAACCAAAAATGAACATTTTCCAAATAATATACTACCAAATTTGGTAGATCGAATATTTAGTAAGTGGTCGGTTTTGAGCTCGCCATTCGGTCATAATATTTTCAAAAAATTAATTAGGATAATGCTTAACACGTTATTGTTCACGTATAAACCAAAAATAAAGAATTTTCCATGTATAACGCCTTCAAGACAGTATTTAGTCATTGGGCCGGTTTCAAATGGGTTTTCTGTCAAATCACGATATTTTTAAAATATTTTTCGGGATAATGATTTACACGTATTTATAGATAAATAGACCAAAAATGATTATTTTCCAAATAATATTAACACCAAATTTGGTCGATCTAATATTTAGTAATTGGTCGGTTTTAAGCTCGGCATTCGGTCAAATCATAATATTTTCAAAATATTTTTTAGGATAATGTTTAACACCTAATTTACACGTATAAACCAAAAATGAAGAGATTTTGATGAATAACGCCAGCAATATGTTCCTTACAAACTTTCTACTATTTTTCGCATCTAAACCTACTCATTATTAAATCTCAAAGAAACCTCTATTTTTTAAATTTTTTTTAGGTTTTTCACATGTATTTACACCCAAATACAAAAAAGCGCTATCCAATATTTATTCTGGTTTCCTAAGAATATATTTTCATATTTATATATTTAACGCCCTATTATGGATATAAATTTGTTAAATTTTGTAATTGAAAAATAAAATATAGGTTGTATTGAGCTAGTAAATATTTTTTTTTCCAATAATCTTAAGTAAAAATAGAATTTTAAATTATTTGATATTTAATATCAATTTTTTAATTAATTAAAAATTGATTTAAGGAGCCAAAAAAAAAAATTTTTTGCTTCAGAAGGCTATTCAAATTTTTCAGGGGGCTCTAGCCCCTACGCTTCCCCCTAGTGACGCCACTGCAGCTAAGATTATTTATATTATTATATATATTTTTAGGCATTCAAAAATCAAACATAGCAAGATATATATCAAAAAAGAAGAAAGTAGAAAATTATACATTACTTGCAATGAGAATGTATTTGCATACAACACCTCTACCCTTTAAGATTAGCTTTCCAAGGCTTCCTTCGTTAGTGCCCCACCTTCTCGCACTTCCAACTCTGAACCGTTCATTGAGGACGTTGTTGTCGTCCGACAAAACCTTAATTTATGCATTCCTCCGCATGCCCAACATGCTAATCGATTCTTCCTAACCCAATATGGCTCCATTCTTCGTTCTATCCTTTGTCTTCTGGGTATTTCCTGCAGTAACTCTCCGTATCTTTGTTGCGCTTCTACCCTTGCCGCTTCGAATCTGTTTGATTCGGCTGATCCATCTGCTTCCCTGATTTCCATCTTGATAATCTTGTTTCCTACTCTGACATATGATGCCATCTATAAAATTACTATAAAAATATATATCTTTCATAATCTTCTAATAATCTACTATTCACCTGATAATTTCTTCAGCGTTTAAACCCTCATATAGGTCTATCATTAAATTTATTTCCTCGAGAATGATTATACTCCTCATTGATCTCTTGAAATTATGATTCTCCTAATTATGTATCATCAATTTTCTTTCATCTAACAATATGATTCTCAAATTAGGTCTATCATCAATT